TTGATCCGGCTCAAACCGGTTTCGACCGGTCTGAACCGGCTGAAACCGGTCTGAGCCGGCTGAAACCGGTCTGAACCGGTCTGAACCGGTTTGAACCGGTCTGAACCGGCTTGAACCGGTCTGAACCAGTTTGAACTGGTCTGAACTGGCTGAAACCGGTTTGAACCGGCTGAAACCGGCTTGAACCGTTTAACCGGTCTAAATCAGCTTGAGCCAGCTCCAACCGGTTTGTCTGCATCAGGCCACTTGTAACCGGTTTTTAAACCATTGTATAGTGAAAAATGGAAATGCTAAGATGCCTCTTCCCTCCAGCGGAATTTACTGAGGGAGCGCCACCCCCCCCCCCAGCAGAACGGAGCATGGAGCATGAAGACAGGCTGTGGTCAGCCCTCTGGGGCCTCCTGGAAGGACAGCAGCCATATGATTGCCCAGGGCAACTCTTTATTCAACAGTACATTTGGAAGAAGATAAGGCAACAAGGTAATATTTTTATAATGTTGCTAGCATTTCCCCAAGCTAAAGCCAGGAGATCTTGGGTGGCCTTTGCAGTTTCTCTGTCATAATGTCCCCCCAGTCCATGCACATGGAGAAGCTCAGGTAGTGCTGAGGCGGGCAGCAAACAGCTTGTTTTGTCTTTCATCACATCAAAGGCAAACGGGGTGCCTGATGTTGCTAATTTTGCTTCAGTTGATGGAGAGTGGAATCTCTTTGGTATTTATAACACTGTGTTGGACCAGATGTGGTCAAGGACTTGGTTTAACAAGTGATTTTCTTCACTAACCAGGTTCATCTCCACTGCTTGTGCCCCAGGGAGCTTAGTCAGGATGAGCCCTGTTCTCCACTTTGGTGGGGGGGAAAGGTCATCAGCCCTAGACTGCTGTTTGGGAAATGCCAAAGCTGCATTTTTAAACTTGAAGTGGCTTTAAATATTCCCAGCAAGGTCCTTTGAGGCTGACCTAATGTTTGCTCAGCAGTTAAATACCTCCCCGCAATTCCTCCTTATTTAATATTGCTATAACAGGAAAGTGTGTAAAAGTAAAAAGAATATACTATTTACAGATGTAAAGTTGTCTTTAAACATACCAAGGGTTCAGTGGGTCACTTAATGATATGTAAATCTTTTACTTTGATATCTGAAATCTCTGCTATCTCAAATAGTATCATTTTTAGCTATAATCATCAGTTTAAGTAAATGTTCCCATAATTTCAACGTCCAGATAAAAAGTTTCTGTGGAAGCTCAGTCCATGGCTGATTTTCCTTATGTGAAGTCTTCAAGCAGAGTAGCGATCACTTCAGAGTACCGAAAAACAGAGCCACTGTGGAGAAGAAAAAACAGGTCGGTTCAGTGACCAGTTTTGAAATGAAAGGCTGTGTCGTTTAAGTATCTGGAAAGAGGAATGTTTGTACCAAAAAGCAGGTGAAGGTTAAGTTAGCAGGATACTAACTCCTGTTTTGTCTAGCTGATTTCTAGACTCTAGCTTGTACAGGTGTCTCAGTGCTGTTTGAATTAGGTGGTCACGAGTCATATTACAAGGTTGACTGAAACACATGAAATGTGGAACTCAGGCAACAGAATTAGCATTTTCACATCTCTGTCTCAAGAGTGCCACAGCAAAGGAATTTGGGCGGTGGATAGCTCTTCATTCTGTGGTTCTCCACCTTGGTTCTCTGTTGGATAACCTGGGGGCTTCAAAGCTCCCAGGTGCCATGACCTGCAGCCAAGGCAGAGACTGCTGCAAACTGAAGGGGAGCCTTTATCGTGGGTGCCTGTCCTCAGCAAAGATGCCCAGAGTGAGGGGAGCTCTAGGGTCCTGTGGAAGGTGAGTGGAGTGGAGACAATGAAGGCTGTCAGAGGAAAGGGGAGAGTCAGGGACAAAAGTGGGATACCCAGCAAGGAGGATCAGGAGGCTAGTGCTTCCAGAACTGAATGGGGGGGGGGGAGAGGCGTGCTGTATGTCACGATCAAATGGGCTCCACTTTGGATTGCAGCTCTGGGCAGAGCTTCTGGGCTGCGGTTGGCCACTTCAGCAGGCTGAAGGTACCATGTCACCATGGTCATGGCAGAGTGAGACAGCTATTTAGTGGCCAGGTTCCCTCAGAGTTCAGAACGTAAGAAAAAGTGTTCCAGTCACTGACACTTGGCCACATGGCTTTGTTCCTCTTTGGGGTCTGGACTTTGTCATTCTCACCTAGCCTGTGCTGCTTCTGTTGCTGAGGAACCGGACTGGAGCCAGATGAGAATGAATGTCAACCGCAGCTGGATTCTTTTGTTAAGGGGAAGGATGTCCTAAAGGAACGCTACAGAGTCTTATGGACTCCATCCCCTACTCCAGCTTTCTGTACCCTAACACTGTACTCCAGTGATTGGAAACTACAACTCCCAGCAGTACCAGGGAGAGAACTGTGAGGCCCCAAGGGCGGAGCTAGCAGGAATTCTGGGACATTCGGGGGGATAAATACGGCGTGATTACAGCTCAGGAGCTCTGGCTCTCCCTCTCTCACTTGGAAAGCAGCTTTCCGGAACGTGTGACTTGGCGTGTTCAGTCAGCCTAGCCGTAAGGTATTCCACTTACTTTGTATCCTGCTCTCTTTCCTGGGTTGTTTCCTATTCCTTTCCCCTTTTGTAAATAAACCCGTTATTGACCCTTTTGTGTGTCCCTGCAGCATAGCTGAATTGTAAGCGTGCGGGTGAGGCCCAGTCCACTCTGGGCTACCCTGTAACACTTTCTTTGGCGTGAGAGAACTGTCTCTGGGTTGACAAGAGGAGACCTTGCACTGGCTGCCTGGGGACTGGGCATACCAACGTAATCTGGGTTGACATCAATGCAAAATGGGCACCACTGGGGCTTTAGACACAAGGGCACAATAACCTATGGCCAGCTCCGCTACTGTTGACTTAAAGGAAAAGGAAGTAGAAAAATAATCTATTCCGTATTTTAAGTGGATCTGTTCTAAGAATAACAGACTTTCTAAAATCTACTTGAATTTCATCCAGAGGTTGATTTTTTTTTAAAGCGCCTTCTCCCAGGCATGCTAAGCAGCAGTTCTTCCTCTAAGGGCCCCTCAGCAGCCACCTAAAGGGCCTTCTGTGAACCTTGCGCTATTCCCAAGGCAGAGCTCATGAGAGGAGGGATCAGATGTGTTTCCTTGGACCTGAGAATCAGCAGGAAATTGTGGAATAACTGCAAATAAAAGTGCATGGTGGGGTTTTAGAACCAATTACAGGCCTATCCCTGACAGGCCAAAAGATTTTTAAAGCAGAGCTGTCTCCGTCACCCAAGTAAAAGTCCTCCTCCCGCCCCCTTAGGAGTGAGGGGCCGTGTGTGGGGGCGCTGACTTACAGAGATAAGGTCGAGCGCTATTGTGCCAGTGTTCTCGGGATCCAGCTGCTTAAATATCTCTGTAGAGGGAGAAAGAGGGCATGATGAGCGAGGAGCTGAGCAGACCACGGTGCCCTCTGCGCCCACAGGAGCTGCTTTCATCGAGTCACAGCCAGTCATTCATTCTCGATGGCACAGACATGTCTGGTTGGCGGCTTCGCCTGTGCGGAAGGGCGGCCTGCTTTGGCGCCCGGAACTGCAGCGTGTCTTTCCCCTATTCACTTACTGAAGAGTGTTTCCAGTCGAACCAAACACTTAACAAAGTTATTAAAGTCGATGACAAGCTCGTCATCTGCAAACCGGGCAACGATGACTTGATGGAGTTGACGGGGCAGCTTGAAACCTGTGGTGAAAGGAACAAGCAAGCTGAGTGCTGGGGTCAGCTGGTATAGTGCGAAGGGTCAGCGCCTGGTCTCCTGATCAGGGGGTGTCAGTGATGTGGCCATTTAAATGACAGTTGGAACTGCATGGGTCCCTGGGTTGCTCTTCTGAGTCTGGTTTTATTTTATAGAGCTGATGTTTTCTGCCTTTGCTTCTATCTCCAAACAGTTCACATCCCCTGCCTGTGCCCTGCCTGACCACCTGTGGGACTTCCCTGGCCTGTTCTGATGTCCAGGCCACGCCACTTCTCCGCCTTAGTCGTACTTTCACTTTGGTTTGTGTAGCTCTGATTCGTCTTGGAAACTAGATTCTCCTTGGGTGTACATGGGGTAAACTAACTTAATCCTACAGTTCTCCATAGGAACAAAAGTGTAGCAGGCCATGGCTGCCCAGAGTCCAAACTGCTCGCCACGGTGGTACCCTATGCAGCCGCCAGGGGCCTGTGAATCCAGCCAGTGGGGTGTGAGTACCGTGACGTGGCGTGTGCCCTCAAGCCGGGGAGCCTGCCCTCCTCCCCGTCAGTCTGTTGTCAGACGCTGTGTGGTCGCAAGCCAGCCTAGGGCCCTCAGATAATGGCAACATGGGTTTTAATAACTTTGTTTAGGCGGGGGACCCGGCGCCAGAGAAGCAGCCTGGATCCCGGTCAGCAGGAGGCATCATCCTAGTCCCAGAAGCTTTGCCTGGGTTAGTGAGAAAAGGATGTATCCTATTTAAATCACTTATTTAGGATTTCTGCTGCAGCCTTCTAGCCCAGCCAGCACAGCAAAGAACCTCATGCTGGGTTATCTGTTCTCGAGTCTCCACTTTGCTGGTCTCCCACAGCTTGTGTCCCTGCTCCTGATGTCTGATTCTGCTAGAGGTATGCCCCAGGGTAGAGCTGAGACTTTCTACTTTTGCTAAGTAATCTTGCATTGGAAAGGAGGGTGGGGTGGAGGAGAACTGGCTTTGCCCGTCTGACCTGCCAGGCCATTTGGAGGAGAACTTAGATCCAGAAGTCTGAGAGGGCAGGGCGTCCATCCTGGGCCTTTAAAAGGGAAATGGAGGGCTCTCCCTCGTGGCGCGGCAGGTTAGAGCACAGCACTATGAAGCTGGCCTCGGCCACTTCAGCACAAGTTCAATCCCTGGCCAGGGAGGCGACCCTCATGGCGCCACAGACCTCTCCTGGCCTGCCTGCTGCTCCCCTCAGGGTATTTCAGTCCATCTGTCTGTTCTGTTCCCCACTCTGTCTCTGGTGAATCCTTTCACACCCCACACATCTCTGGCCTGTACCCCAGTTCTATATGCATAAATCTTAAAAAAAAAAAAGGGTGGGGGAATGGAAAAGCTGTGTCATAATGAGCCAGCACCTACTTTATTTCATAGTTCACCAATCTCTGTAGTCAGTGCACAGACTGGACAGTCACATACTCATTCTAATAAACAAAAAGCTATGATGTGTTACCTGCTTCTTCTAAAGCCTTCCGCATCTCATAGGAGTTCATGGTACCAGACTTATCCACATCGATTTCACGGTAAATTTTCTGGAACAGGAAAAACTATTTATAAGGCAGGAAGCAAGTGACCACTGCTGTGTGGTGTGTGGGGATGAAGGTTTTCCAATAATCTGTCTCTAGCTTGGTCTTGAATGAATCACCCATGTTTCTGTCTTAAATAGCCAGTTGTATTTTGCCTCTCTCTGAAATGGCTTGTAAATATGCCCATCAAATCTCTTCCCAGGATCAGGGTTATTGAGTCAAGTGACTTGGTACTGACTGGAGCTGTCCAAAATCCAAGCTCCAACAAATAACAGAGTCAGTCAGGATACGTGGGGTAGTGGTTTTTAGATAACCCCATTTTGTTGAGTAATGACGTGAAATTAACGGGCTGACTAGTTAACTTGCAAAGTCCTAGTTTTCTGCTTGTGTTAACCCGGCCTGTCTTCATTCATCCTGAACTCCACTGGGGGTAAAATCCCAGTCTCCTTGGAAATGTCCTTCAACCCCCTAATATTTGCTGCATCTGAAAGTTTATATACAGCACGTGCCCAACACAGACCCACCCCTCTACCACCCACCCCTGCTTGGGCCCTCCTCGGCTCTTACTTGGTAGTTCTGAATCTTTTTCCAGAGAATGTAGAACTCCTTCAGCCCCAACTTGCCACTCCCATCCGACTGCCTTTGGTTGAGGAAATTTCCTTGAGTTGGGCTTACATGGGCCTAGTGTCACCTGCTATTGGATATTCTGGTAACCTCAGCATCCTCACAAACAGGCCTTCCAGAAGGACCTTGGCCTGGTTTTCATATTGGCTAACCCTGCCTCTAAGGATCGTGGAAGGGTCAAAGACCTTCTCATTCTCTAGGATCTCAGTGGCTGATTGGGGCTGGAGTTGCTGTGGGAACCCTGAATCGGCTAAAAATGAGCTATTCGTTTCTATAGAGACGATTATAGACTGTTACTTGGAGTATTTCTAACAGGCCTCTGGGGAGGGTGTTGCTCTGATACACACACAAGCCCACTGAAGAAAACTTCACAGAAGCTCAGAACACCCACCCGGCTTCTCATTAAGCTTCAGGACAAAGAGGAAGGATTAGTGGGGTGGCATAGAAACTAGAGAAAAGAGGATGGAAGAATTCACTCTGTGAAGGTGAAATCCTAGTCTACAAACCAAGAAGAAAATCATGACCAGAGAAAACATTCTTGGGGGCGGGGGCGCATTTTCCCAGAAACAGTGGAGTCTCCATTCCTTGGGAAGCAAACCAGGTTGCTCCGGGAAGAGAGCTGTTGGGCATTTCTTTCACTGGCCTCAGGATGGCTGGCTGACCCGTCTGCTCTGGGTCTGGGCAGGTGGCGTCCCGCTTTCCCTCATCTGAAGTGCCCCGTGGTCCTGGTGAGAGCGGTGGGCACCAACCGCCCTCCAGCGCGGCCAGCCAGAGGTGAGCGGCCACAGCAGCACCATTCCCTGGAGCACTTCAAAGGATACATCCAGCATGTCTACCATGATCTTGCAGGTCTCGATGCTGAACCCATCTGTCTTGATATCTTGGCCTACAAGACAAAATTAAGCATGACGGGCAAGTCTTTGGGAACAGAAGTCCTGTTCTGTGACGATAGACATGCTCTGTTCTGTGCACCCTACAGTCCACAGCAGCCACTTGAATTCTTTTCTATACCCGTAGAATTCTTTTATATACCTGTATATGGCCAGACGGTGCTGGGATGATGGGGAAGATGTTACATTTGCTTGATTTCTCGGCACCTGCCATAGGCAAACGGGGCCTCAGTAAGCCCTTTTCAAATAAATGAAAAAATGACAAACACCTTTAAATGCTCACAGGGTACATATCACCTGTGTCTGTCAGGCAGGAAATAGAACTCGGAGGTCATGGGGTTCCAGACTAGGACCTACGAGGAAGACATGAGGCACCTCTGTCCCCAGGGAGGGGCGAAGACTCAGAAGCCACCTGTGAGCCACTGCTTTTCTAGGGGACTCCTGTCTAGCTGGTGGCATGAAATGCCTTGTCACAAACCTGAATCAGGTCCCCACAGACTTCCTGGGGAACCTACCCTTAATGCTGTCATCCTGAACAACACTTTCGTGGGTACAGGTCAAAGGCTGTGGCGGGGAGGGGGGGGTCGGGTGGGCGGGAAGAAAGCAGAGTCTCCAGGCAGCAGAGAAGTGCGAGAGAAGCAGTTACTGCTCTCGCTACAGGAGCTGGCTGCCTCCAGGCCTGGCACAGCTCTGCCTCACCCCGCCCTCACCCCGTCTGCGAGAAACAGTGAGGTCTCAGTGTCCCTGGGCTCATGACGGTCACACAGCCTGAAAAGCCCTATGACCTCACTTGTGCCAGGCAGCCCAAGGGTAAACACTGTCTTCTTTTCCTCCTGCACTGGAGGGTGGGCCAGAAGCCAGGCCTGCCGGGGAAGCCCTCATGGGCTAGCCAGGCCCGGCCACCCTGACCTCACCTGGGTGCTGTGGGACCCACCAGAGCGCTTAATTAAAGTCCCTTGTCTGGGTGGGGGGAACGGGACTGGCCATCTATGATCCCGCAGGTACATGTGGCTCATATTCATGGGACCACGGCCCAGCTGGCCCTGGTCTCTTCCAGAGGCTCTCTTCGACGTCTCAGGCTCCTGGAGATGACCCCAGGGTTGACATTCAGGATGTGGCATCATGCATGCTGGCTCCTGATCCAGGCTGATCATGTCGGATACCGCACAGGGGCCTCAGCGGGTTGTCATCACAGTTATCTTGTGATAATTTGAGGGGTAACGTGTGTGTGTGTGTGTGTGTGTGTGTGTGTGTGTGTGTGTGTGTGTGGATGATCATCCCTTAGTGAGGAGGTTGAAGAATCAATCCTTTGGTATTTTTTTGCTGAAAAAGGTGGTGAGAACCCCGGCTTTCTTCTCCCCCTGGGAAATGCCTGGGACCAGCCATTTCTAGAGTTCTGAAGTTACCTGCTCGGAGCACTGGCTCATCCAAAGCAACACTGCCCCGCAAGAAGAGCGGGTGAGCTGTGACTTACTTAAATACACAGGTGGGAGATAAGACCTTTGTAGTGCCATTCCCGTGATTCATTTATTTTTCTATTCCAGCTAATGGATCAATGATTTGCTACCTAACACGCCCAAGGAACTCAGGGAGCTACTTTCTGGCTCCCGTTTTCTGGGCTGACTCGCTCTTATCTGTTAGTCATGATAGCAAACACAGACTTTACGTTAGGCAGTTTCTACATGTTCGCTCTCTGAGGACATTTAAGCACTGTTAAGAGGTCAGAAATACTATGTCTATTTTGTAGATAAGAAAGCAAGAGTCAGAGGCTGTGAAACCTGGTTTATATCAGAGCTAGTCAGTAGCAGAGAATCGAATGTAATCTTTTACCTACAGATTCTGTGAAGCTTTATTTTAATCACAGCACATAGGACCTCCTTCACCCAATCCTTGGAAGGTGGGCGTGGTGCCTTAGCCACATCAGTCAAGGCGTGGAAGGGGGGGTTCCCCAAGGTTCCAAGGCTAAGTGGCGGACGAGGGACTGCTGGGAGGGGATACTTACGCCTGGCTAGGACTCGTTTCAGGATGGTCTGCAGCTCAAAGGCGGAAATCTCTGCATCCTGTGGACATGCAAGCAGAGCACAGTTACCTGCCCGAGTAGCCACACGAAGCATGGCACAGCAAACATGTAGGGGGCGCCACCCTGGCCACGTCCCACGGGAGACGCTCGCAGTGGGCCTGGCCGGGTGCAGGAGACTGCATTTCCTGCATGTCCCCAGGAGGGACTTGGCTGCTCTTGGCTGCCTGCACTTGGAGCTGAGGAGCCACAGCCTATTTTAGACACATATTCCAAGGTTCAGTTGTTCCAGATGGCGTCCACTCACTGTAAAGGCCGCTTTCCACTCTGCTCACGGTGGTGGGCTTACTCGATTTAGTTCCTCCCGGCCTCGTCACCATTTAGGACTCAGACCTCTCCTCCTGTAGAGTTGGGGGGCCCAGGTGTCCAGGAGCTGCTCCTGCACCTCTCCCCTCCCCGTGGGGCTCCTCAGAGGTGGCTCAGGTGCCTGGTCATTCTCACACTGTGCAGGTGTTAGACCATGATGAGCTGTAGCCTTCCTAGGGGGCAGCGTTGTGCTGACTCATTCACTTGGTGGGGAAATTAGTCTCTAAGATGCCCCCTTACCTTAGAAGTGGGGAGGGAGGCAGAGTGGGAAGTGGGGTGCACATGGCTGCTGCCCTAGCACTTTGATGGGTGAGTCTTTGGTTAAGTACACAAAGGCCAGATGAACTCCATGTGGACACCCAAGAGATTTAGGTTCTGTGTAAATGAACGAGGGTTGACTGGTTTTTGTTTTACTACTATTTTTTTTTTTTTTTGAGTTGTTGGGATTGGGGCTGAAAAATCTGTCGCAGGCTGATGCCTACAAGACAGGAATTTTTTTTTAAGAATGGAGAAGACTGGATCTACCCAGGTAGTGCAAGGGATTAAGTCTCAGTACTAGGAAGCTGTCCGCAGCCACTGCAGCACCAGTTTCAATCTCTGGCCAGGGAGGTGACCCACATGGCGTGGCAGACCTCTCCTGTCTTGCCCACGGCTCCTCTCAGCAGTGTGTTTCAGAGATCCGCCGGTTCTGCTCCCCACTCTGTCTCTAGTAAATTTTCTCACCCCTGCACCTCATGCCTGTACCCCAGTTCTTGTAAGCATAAATAAATCTTAAAAAAAAAAGAAAAAGAATGGAGACTAATGGTCTGTTGTAAATTGCTTACATTCTTAAGATTTAAAATGCTCCATCTCCTTACATACTTTATGGACATCAAGGATAAAGGGCCAAGCCCCATGCCTCTGTTGGAGTGAAACAGGGACAATAAAAGTCACAGGTGGGGCTGGCAGTCCTGGGGCAGGAGGAACACAGGCCAGTGCTGACCGGCAAGCGGAGCCCCCAGAGGTCCAGGAGGACATGAGCAGGAGTCTGAACAGAAATGCACGTTATATTTTTCTTTATGTTCAATTTTCCTTCTCCATTTTAAAGTGACACCTCCATGGTTTCTACAGAGAAGGTGTCAGTGGAGGTTCCCTTTTCACTCCCGAGAGGATCACCCAGCCAGATCCCAGGCAGCCAGAGGGCCGCTCGCTAGCTGCGACCTGATGTGATCCAGCGTCCAGGTGTCTCCTCGAGGAATGCAAAAACATGGGTTCCAAGGTATCTACGCATGCCTGGTTCACCGCAGTGCTGTCGACAGCTGTAAGTGATGTGGACAACCTCAGTGCCCATGAACAGCCAGCGGGTTTAGAAGCTGTGGTGTATGTCTACACAATGAGTTCCCACTGGTATAAAAAAGATGAGCTCCTGCCATTTGTGACAACTGGAGAGAACTGCAGAGCATTATACTCAAAGACATAAGAAGGAGTAAAACCAACGATTTCACTCACATGTGGAATATAGAGAAGATTAAAAAGCGGACAAGACTAAACCAAAAAAACCCAAGAAATCTGACTGCAGAATTGAGGCTACCAGAGGGGGGTAGGAGGTAAATGGGGGTGGGGATCCAATGGATTATGGTGATAGGTGTGGCAACAAACATCTGAGGGGTTGTGATTCTGTACCCCTAAATCATACAATGTTTGTAAACAAACCACCACAATAAAAAGACAATACAACTTAAAAAAAAAAAAAAAAGAAATAGAAGCTTCCTTGAGGATGAAGATGGGCTTCCTCTTGCAACAGCCAGAGGTCATAACTTCGAGATCTGAGGAACTTACCTCCCCCGCCAGCTGGGCAAACAAATTCCTGAATCCATCATCAATGTCGTCCTCGCTGATGTCAAACTGGAAGGTAAAGTCCAGAAGTATAAAAATGCTGGATCAGAGCAAAGAACAGTAGCGAGCGGCCGCCTCTCCTCCTTCACAGTTCCCTTCTCTGCCTCTCCCTGGGCCTGTTCTCCAAGGGGACTGGGACTGAGATGAAGGACAGTGTGAAGAATGAATGGAAGAGTTGCTTTCTCGTTAAAACTTTCGAGGGGATACAAACTGGGAGGGAAGGAGATACCTTCTCATTTCTCTCCTAACATTTAACCAAAATGACCTCTTATGAGCTACTCTAATAGGAATTCGGAAGCATCAAGACGACTTGGAATGTTCCAGGAGGGTTTTGAGAGTGGTTAGTGAGCCCAGCTTCTGAGGACGTTTGAAACTACCTGGTCTCCCACTGACTTCTGACCACACAGACCTTCAGCATCCAAGTCAATGACCACTTCAGGTCCCTTCTGTTTCCCACTCCCTAGGGCACTCGTTAGCACTCCGTAGGGTGCTCATCTGAAATTCCCTAGCGGTATCCTTCGATGCCCTCCAGTTTTACCATGGACTCACCACTCTTGCAACTCTAGAGCGCCAGTCCCATCACCCATCACTTTCATTTTATAAATGGGACCACTGAGGTCCAGAATGCTGTGTCAAAGCCCTCGGTGATCACAGCAGGAGGGGTGTCCCTCCTTTCCCATGCCAGCCCTGTGCTCACAGGAGGGGTCACCTGGCTAGAGCCAGAGCCAGAGCCTACAGCAGGCTGTGTCCTTGATCTCAAACTGCTGATAAAGCGCAGGGACCTTTGAAAACCCTGGGGATTATTTTTGCTCCTCTGCTCTCTGGGTTTGTGCAGGTCAGTGTGGGCAGAATTCAATGAGTTACAAGTACCTCTTCCAGGTTGGCCTCAATTTCATCATCAATAACCCTGGAAACAGAAGGACAGGCGTGTTACTGGGGGTAGGGGAAGCGGAAGGAAGTGTTGCTAAAATCACTGCAAAATGAACCTGGGACTTTAACCCAGCAAGGGTGGTGGTGGGGGGGGCGCGGGCATTTCTCTGTCTCCCAGGTTTCTGGGATAACACATCTCCTTTGACAGCAGAAGTCAAGACAGAAAGGAGCTGAGGAAACATGGAAAGTCCTCATCAAATAGCACACTGCCCATGTGGCCTAGCTCATCCCATCCCGGGCCTGGAGGAGGAGCTTTTAAGTTACATTCGAAACATTCTGCTGTAAATCTTGGATCAGGAATCCTTCCTGGGCACTGTGGCCCACTACGAGCTTTGCTCAGGGCTGGAGCGGGCAGGTGGCGAGAAGGCCGTGTGTGGCTGCTGCGGAAGTTAGGGCAGCTGCTAGTTTATCTCTGCACACCCCTGAGCGCAAGGAGGGCAATTCTGCTTCCCGGGGAGGGTCTTCCCCGGGCCACTAGGATCTCAAACCCGGCCACCGGGAGGGACATGGCAAGGCCGCCACCTTGTGGGATAAAAACCAGGGGAACCCTCGCTGTGGACACGTGGAAGCTGGGGCAAAGGATTACTATCCTGAGCGGTGGGGGCTTGTGCTTTGGGGGTGGGGGCTCATCCTGCAGAGAGGAGAGTTGAGGGGGTTGAGGCTTCCGTGTAGCAGGCGGCCCTGGGATGCCTGGCTCTGAGCTCAGATGGGCGGTACCGAGGGCCTCAGAGGGGCAGGGACTCCTTCCCAGCTGCCAAATGCCTCCCGGGGAGGGGGAGTCTGAAGTGGACACAGGACAGTGTCAGTCCCAGGCCACCCACCCTGTCCCCACTTCCTTGTTATTGGGCCGTAAGCCAACACTCAGGCTTCCTCCAGGGACCCTGAAGGGCCCCTCCCCATGCAAGATTGAGCAAAAGATAAGACCCGCCAGTGGCAGGAAGCATGTAGCCACAGAGCTGCGGAGGTGTTTATCAGTTTGCATCTCCCCAGCACTGTTTCCTCACGAACAGCACCCCAGCTTCCTTGGGGGAAATCATTTCTCTGCTGTGTGCTGTCTCGGAGCCAGGGTGATGCCCTGCTCCCCTCCCACTGCCCTCCTCCCTCCCAGGCAGTGGTAGAGGCCGTCAGATGCGCTGTGCTGGGCCTCTGGCTTAGGACACAGGGTACCAGGTCTGAGTGGACCCACAGTTGCCCTGTTCACGGCATCCCCTGTGCTGACCTGCCAGCATGTCCTGGGTCGGGGTCCCCCCCATGCAGCCCCCTGCCTCCCCCCCGGTTCTGAGGTCCCCGTGACCGTCCCTCTTGTTAAGTTGCCCTGGTCACGTCTCCCTCAGTCTAGCGCCCAACTAGATGCACGTTGTGGTGGCAGAAGTCACTGGGGACGGAGGCCGTGTAGACAGTGACAGCAGGTCAGAGGGTCCCAAACTGCTGGGGACCACGGAGGCAGGCGGGAGAGGCCTGATCACCATAACAGGTTCTGGAGGCCCCTGAGTTATGGCTCAAGCTCTCGGTGCCCAGAAAGTGCGTGTTATCCCAGGGCTCCCCAGCTGTCTCCAAATGATGGAGCTGGGTTTGTAGCGTGGGATACTGGTGGTTCAATGAAATGACTCGATCACTCAGACAAACAACTGAGATGGCATTTTGTGACCACCCCTTCCTAACCCCAAATATCCCGAATGGCCCTTGTCTTTGTGTTCCTGAGTATAATACTAGAAGCTCATCAAGATGTCAAATCTCCACATGAAACTCTTTGGACTGACGTGCAGAGGCACGAAGACCTCAGGGTAGGTGAGGAGAGGCTGGTGGCAGGAAGGGTGGGGAGGAGGGGAGTGACCTACTGGTAGTCGGCCTTCTTCTCAGAAAAGACCCGGATGCAGAAATCCCCGTCCTTGTTGGGCTCAAAGGTGGAGGGCACCACGATGTACTCCCCAGGGGGCAGCTTGAAGCGGTTGAGCACCTCCCGCAGGTTGATGTAGGTGTCTGACCGCTCCCTCGCTCTGTTCGTCAGGAAGAACTTTTTGCTGAGGTGGATGTTGGTCTGTCCCATCAACTGATGAGTAAACAGAAACAAGTGGGGATGGGGATGGGGGCGGGGGGGGCAGAGAGCAGACTCCAGATCATGGCCACTTGCACTCATGGAGATAACAGGGTGACACAGACAATGTCCTGGTGAAAAGCAAACTTTCTAGCAAAAATAACACATGTCCACAGATCTGCTGGGTGCAACTGTGGCCTACTCAGTGCTCCCAAATAACCCAATCCGTCACAACAGTCTGGCCATGTGGATCATGGGCCAGTTTTATTGAAAGGAAACTGCAGTCCAGAGAGAATGTAGCTTGTCCATGGTCCCAGCCTGCAGGTGGCAGGGCTGGGAATCAGGGCCAGCTCTTCCTGCACAGCCTGTGGGGTTTATCGTTTCCCTCCAGCTTGTAAGGGAGCTGCAGAACTCTGAGAAGACCCATGTGGGGTCTCGGGACTACAGCTCGTTCACTTAACTAGACCATGCATGTGTTCTGAGGGCCCTGAGAGGCAGCAAGCCCTGGGACCGCCTGTGACACTTCGCCCTGAGCTCAGGTCGGCGGCACAGAGGGTCTCAGAGGGACAGCTGCCGGCCCTGCCAAGCTCCACAGACCTCTCTGGGCGGGCAGTGCAAGCCCTTTACAAGTTGGTGAAAGTGAGTCTCCAGGGCCCGGGGCTGATGCCCGCCAGACGTACCTCCTCTGGGACCTGCAGAGATAAAGGAGCACACACTTAATTCCCATCCCGGCAAAGCTGCATACACAAATGTCACTGTGACTTCTCCAACGCCACCGCCCCATCTGACGCTTTAGCGATGTTGACAATAATCAACACGGCCGTTTTCCAAGGAACTGAAAGCATGTCCACATTTAAAATATTTTCTTATGACCCAGCAATAATGTGGATGAGCCCTCACCACCATGTCCAATCTGTAGAGCATGAAGCTAGCACAGGGCTGTGAAGGGACATGTTTATGGTCTCAGGGGCCAGTGCATCACGGGTTCCACCAACAAATCAAGGTGCACCCCATCTGGGCTGCTCGGAAGTCTTCATGCACCCCTCCACTCCCACTGGCAGCCTAAGGCTGCAAGAAGCTCTCCTCTGTGCTGCAGAAGGGGCGGTGAGGGCACTGACTGGCAGGTGGGTGGGCCCCAGGGGCGGTGGTGCTGCCCTCTGGTGTGCTGGGCGGGCTGTTGTTCAACTTGTACAGAATAAGGTAGGTGGCGATACTGAGCGTCTGGATGTGTGTGTGTTTGGGGGGGGAGGGGAGTTGGAGGGCCAGGGTTCCAACAAGGCGTGACCTGCTGGGAGCCCATGGGCTGTCTGTGTCCTACGTGTCACATGTTGCAGACCGACTAGCCACGTCGGCTCAGTTCCCATCCTTACAACACTTCCCCTTGTGATCCAGCATCTTCTGCTCTCGGCTTAAGTCTCTGCTTTGGAGACCGGTGACCGCTCATCTGAGCTTTGGGGAGGGCCAGCCTGGGGCACGAGAAGGACGCAGAGGCCACTGGGAACTGGCCACAGGAGCAACCGCCCACCGACACGGGCCAGCTGCAGGGAGCGCCCAGGCCGTGACGCTGCTTCTCCCTTGGCCGGGCACCCTGTCTGGGACCCCAGTCCGGGGCGGCCTCGGGGTTGGCCTTCCTCGAAGGGGCTGAGATGAGCCGAGAGAGAGGACAGGCGAGGGCTCCTGCCATCCTGACCCACCTCATAGATGCCAAAGCCAATGGTGTGCATGTCCTCGCCCATCTTCCTCTGCCGCCGCCGGTGCTTCTGGATGAGGCCCACCAGGAAGGTGCAGCCGCTCTCCCCGTCCTCCTGGTCCTCGTCCTCTTCCTCCAGCTTGATCACGTACTGGGGGTTCATCCAGAAGGTGTCTGTGGCCAGAGAGGGGCGGCAGTCAGTCACCTCTACAAGGTGCCCAGCCTAAGCAGGAAGGCCCAGGGGGTGAGGAGCTCCGAGGGGGGCCTGGCATCTCGAACCCCTTCAGTGGACCCAGAGGGCAGAAACATCCAGTGCACCATTTCAGCCTCTTGTTCTGGCCCTTTCCCTCCAGGGTCTGTCGCCTGGATAGCGCCTTCCTCCCCGCACCCCCAACCCCAGGGCTTCTGCCCCCACCCTCACTTCCAAACCCTGATTACAGGAAGACGCGTTCAGGGATCACTGTGCTGATGGCCCTCCCCGACATCACAGAATAAAACCGTGGAGCTAGAGGCATCATCTAGCGGCAAACTCCACCCTCCAGGGCTGCTGGCAGCCTGTTCCTGTTGTGAAGTTCCTGGATCTCGGCCACGTTTACTCCTTTAATCATGGCTGCCTTGGGCTGCCGCTGGAGCAGCCGCCACGAGATGAGCGGCCAGCCACGCCAGTTTCCTATTGGGCCCTTAGGAGAGTGCTGGCTCCTGAGCCAGTGGGTAGGATGAAGACTTTTGCAGGGGGCCAAGGGCCTTCCTGGCCCCTCTGGACCACCACGAGGAGGCTGCATGCTTGAGGCAGAGTAAACACGACTGCCCACCCCTCCTGGTGGACATGCGCTCCGTGGCCAGGCATGCCACCTGGAGCCTGGCTTTCTTCTTCCATGACAGGGAATCAAATATGACCATGGGCCGCCGCGACTGTGTAAGTACCAAGCCCACATCAGACTGCCCGGCTCAGAGCTCGGGAAGCTGTGTACCTTGGGCGAGTCATTCGCCCGCCAGGCTCTGCTCATCCTAAAGATGAAGATGATAAAGTTTCCACCTGGGAAGTTTAGTGTGAAGGTTAAATGGCATTATATGACGGTTTCCAGCGCCCATTTGTGCTCTGTGATTGGCTGGTGTCCCTAGGATGATGTCACTTCTCGGGGGTACGGAGGGGAGGACTGGGGGCTGTCAAGGCAGGAGAGCCCGGCCCACCAGCCAAGGCTGGGCCAGAGGAGAGTCCTCACCCCCACTGGGCACCCCCATCAGCACTCGCTCACGTAGATACCTGGTGCTGGGACTCCCCGCAGGGCCAGGCCGCTGGGCCCAGGACAGACAGAAAAGGCAAGGGGCTGACATGGAGCTGGGGGAAGCTGGGGCATGGGGACCCAGGGTCTTGGCTGTTGTGTATGAAGGGAGGCAGGAGCATGCAGAGGGAAGGGGCAGTGAAGAGAGGGATAGCGATGGAGACGCAGGGAGAAGGAAACCAGAGCGGACAAGAGCTGACAGGCTGGGGTTCACTGGCCCTTGGGGTAGGGCGAGTGCTGCCTGGGGTACCCCACAAAGTGGCCTTACTCGGGAAATTCCTGCAGCCCCCTGCGGTGGAGCCCCGACGCCAGTTGCCATCCATCTTGGTGAGCTTCCACTTCTTGTAGGAGTCACTGGTGAGGGTGTCGGGGGTCAGGTTGCAGATTTCCAGGCGAGAGTAGTGTCGCAGGAAGTCCTCGAAAGACATCCTGGCAAAGGCAGGGGCGCACATCCAGGTTGTAAGAGGACACAGAATCTCTGGCTGTCCCCTGAGGTCAGGCTGGGGCGCAAGGGCCGGGCAGAGGGGTGGGGCCGGGACAGAGCGCTGGGGGCTGAAGGGCCACTTCCTAGTGGGTGACTTTGAGCAAGCAGCTGAAAGCTTTCTGTGGCTCGGAACTCCGCCTGTGAACACAGGAGTCCGAGTGTCCAATGAGACACAGCTGGACACTCTTCCTGTGACTGGCGGCAGGTGGCCTCGGACACAGACACGAGACACGAGACAGCCGCTCGAACCGCTCTCTCAGGGACCGGTTCCTTAAGGTGTCCGGATGAGTCTCCAGGAGCTGGCTGGGAGAGGGGCCCCCAGCCCCCCCGCTTTCTCCTGGGGTCTGAGCATCACTGCTGGAATCCCCTAAGTCTTTGTAGAGCTGCTCAGCTTTTAAACCCCACCGATGAGATGGGAAGGGGAAGTGTTTTTGCTCAGGGCCACAAAACCAGGATCCCATGCTTCTGTGCCCCTTGGCATGATAATCATGCCAGTTTTCTAGTAGCGGTCACTGGGGCAGACACCCCTTCTCCTGTATTCTTACCAGAACTCCCCATCTTCATGCCGCCTGGTCAGCCCCTCCCTCACTTCTGGGTCTATGGTGTTCCAGTTTGGGCAGCTGGAGGAGAAAGTAACGGGTGAGGGGCAGCAAACCTGCACAGGGCCATGACCTTCCCAAGGCTCCCCAAGGACACACTGTCCCCTGCGGGCACACACCTAGGAAGAGGGTGGAGAAACAGGGACTGGCTAAGAGCTGCAGTGAGAGGCTGGGTTCCCTGGAAGACGGTGGCCAAGAAGATTCCAGAAAATGAACACAGACCATCAGAGAGAGGTGAAGTGGCATCAGTGACCCAGAGCCAGAGGGGCCTGGTGTCTCTTGTAAGGACTGAAAAGGCAGCTCATCTTGGCCCCTGCAGCTGACCTGTGTCTCTGGCATGGCTGAGGCTGCCTTGGAGGGACCATGCAAGGGGCAGAACTGGAGCGCTGGGCCACGGGAAGGCCGTGAGGGAGGCCCTCAGGAGATTCTACCCCAAAGGGCCAAAGATGTAACAAGTGCAGTAAGAAGCTGGGGCTCAGCACTGACTTCTCGCTGGTCTCAAGTCCTACGTCTATAATCTCAGTGCAGAACCAGTGCTGGGGGTGGGGCGGGGAGGAGGGGAGCCTTCTTCCCCTGATGCTTCCAACTGGGGGGTCTCACATATGGTGCTAGGGGATGACATGGAGGAGCGTCCCAGGAGCCCTGGGTCTTGGAGAGTCACCCAGGCGGCTGGAACGAGCTGGCTAAAGGCCTTAGGGGCCACCTAGGTCCTGGGCCCACTCGGGTGACCGCACTCTCGAGGCTTTATTCCCAGCACAGCATATACCCCTTCCGTTCCCCTAGCACCCCCTGGGCAAAATGCACCCCTCTCTGGCACCCCACTTGCACTCTCTCACTTGTCACTCCACTTTCCGGTCCACTCCACCTCTCCCCAGGGGTTGCGGATGCGGATCAGCTTCTGCAGGCTTCCTCTGCTCTCGACCTGAAGCAGGATTAGATGAGACGGGGTGGGGTGGGGTGGGGGGTGGGGGGGATGTGGGGGTTGAGCTCAGGCGGGGTTGGAGGTTCTCAGACCCACAGCCCCGCTGGCAGGAGCTGGTGGTGGTGGTGGACCCCTCATGTGGAAGGGGGATCACCAAAGGCAGAAAGGCTCGTCCCTAGACATCTCGTGGCTGCCTGGACTTGGGCCCTGGCAGACCAGCCCTCTGGGGAGCGGAGGCACAAGCAGGTGCTGGCACTTTACCTCTGAACCTCCGTGTAACTGGCTATATAGTGTGCCCGTTAGCTGGGGAGACGGGATGCTTTACCTGTTCCCCCTATGGCCCCCCGGCCCCAGCCCCAAGAACACAAGCTGCGCAGTGCTGACTCTTGATTGGATTTTGGAGGGGGCGTGGCACTAAATGACATTTAGGGGCAATGTAAATATGCACTGTATTTAGCAGATGTAAGTGAAATCGTTTTTATCTCCTCGGCATGGCAGTGGCGTTCCCTGGGGTTAAGTGAGAGGCTGTCCTTATTCAATGGAGACAAGCTGAAGTCTACAGGAGTGGGGTGACCTGAGACCTGCCCCGACTCGAACAGCTCTATCCGATTGAATGTTCAAAATAAAAAGGGAAATAAAACAAAAATGCTGGCGTTTTGGGGTCCAGTGTGCATTTTGGAGTTAAACTGGGATGCATACTAGTATTTATAATACAATAGCGACAATAGCAAGGATTGCTCCCTGAGCATATTCAGTGTGTCAGGCTGTACATCAGCAAGGCGACTGAGTCACACAATCACCTGCGGTGGGAATTATTGTATTGCTAGTTCAAAGATTAGGAAACGGAGGGCAGAGTTTGAGCACCTGCCCAGACCACGCGGCTGGAAAGAGGCGGCGTCAGATCTGAACGTGAGATGGAATATGAAGACACTTCAGATACTGTAAGACGCTACACCGAGAGATGCAAAATGTTGCTTTCGCTTTGGCTGATCCTCTGAAATAGAACAAGAGCGCGGGGCGGGATCTCCCGCCACCAGGGGGCAGTGCAGCCTGCGCGGAGTCTCCGGAAGACCACGCCCCCCGCCGCCCGGGTCTGAACTGCAGGAATGCGAGGCGGGTTTGGAAAGGGCTTTGGAAACAGGGGGCCCGCCCTAGGCAATCACAGCCAAGATATGCGCTGGGCATTTGTGCTGGGCTAAAGACCCCCGAAACCCACGCCAGGCATACCTCCTCGGCCCCGGTGACCGAGTACGCGTGCCCCTTCACCAGCTTCTGGAAGGTGACGGCCTCCGAGTCCGCAGCGCTGGTGATCTGGAAAGATGGGGCCCATCAGCGTGGGTGGCTGCGCCCCCCTCCCTCACTCTTACTCATCCTGGTCTACAACAAAGGCCCTGGGGGACAGCCAGGCCCAGGTGTGGCCTGGGGGAGGAGGGTGGAGCTGTTTTCCGACTGGCCCTGCTAGTCACGGCCAGAGAAAAGGCGCAGGAGAGGAGCGTGAGCATTTGCACCAGTGGTGGGTGCTGGTTCGTGTATTTCCGCCTGCGAGGACGGCAGGGAGGGCATCTCCTGGAGGGAGGCTGCAGGGAGGGCATCTCCTGGAGGCTGGAGGCACTGGGGGTCAGGGCAGACCCAGCTGGCCTCGAGGGGGGTGTTTGTTTTCAGTGAGAAAGAAGTTCTCTGAACTCCTCTGGGTCTTCCCTTTCTCCCACCTATCCCCATGGCTATTGTTTCTGTCTTGGTAGGGACAGGCCTGCACCCCGCCTGGGCTGGGTCTACATGGTCTATAGAAAGCTTGAGAATCCTTGTCAAGAGCTGGACTAAGCCAGGGCCTCTTCTCTCTGCTCACAGCGACCCATTTCCAGACAGACCCTGTTTCCAGAAAGAACAGGGCTCGGGAGCAGGGTACAGCCAGACAGGTACAGCCATTGTCTGGTGGCTCCTTGGAGTCAGCCCATTGTGCCACCGCCCTTCCCCTGGGGAGGTGAGCCAGCAGGGCCGGGATGAGGAAGTGGCTCCCCCGTGGCTGCCCGGCCCCCAGCACAGGCCCTGAGACAGAACAGGTGGGGAACAGTGCTGCCCTGGGGACCGCAGAGGCAGGGTAATCCGAGGTCTGGGGCGGTGATTCCCCGAGGCTGAGGGTAGAAGTGGGCGAGGGCCAGCCGAACCCCACACAGCCTGGGTGCCAGAGGATACAGGATATGGGGAACAAGGGTTAAGCTGGTGCCATAAGGGGCCTGGCTCCCCGGGCACTGTCAGTGTTCAGCAGACGTGTGACAGCCAGGGCAACCCGGACTCACATCGATGGAGCAGCCCAGGAGAGAGCCTTTCTGCAGAGCCTTCTGGATGATCTTGAACAGGTTAGGAGGGGCTTTCCTCAGCTCGTACCACTCCGCGATGCCTCCGGTGAAGTCCTCAAAGCCCTCTGTGGTGGCACCCCCAGAGAGCGCCTCATAACACCCGTTCACCCTGGGGGAAGGCAGGGAAAGAGCTGCTGTTGCACCTTGCAACGCTATCGCTGGCCCCAATGGTCTCCCCTGGCCCCACGTCTCCTGAGTTGGATGCTTCAGGGCCCTCAGCCCAGATCTTTCATGACTTTGTCTCCAACTCAGCCATGAGGGCAAGTGACCATCTCAGTTGCTTCCCAGGGGCTTTGTGCAATATTTTAAAAATTTCCTAGAACCTCAGAGTTTGGACCAGCGTCCCCTAATGACGCTTTCTACACCCTGGCAGGAAGGGGAAGGTCTGCTGGCAGGATGTTCAGCATCTGTAGCCTTAAAAAAGACAATTCAGGCCCTCCCTGGTGGCGCAGCGGGTTAAAGCACTGCACTAAGAAGCTAAAGCCACTTCCGCATGAGTTTGATCCCCGCCTGCCCGGGAGGTGACCACAATGGCGAGGCAGCCCTCTCCTGACCCGCCCCGCTGCTCCCCTCAGCGGTGTACTTTGTCGATCTGCCTGCTCTGCTCCCCACTGTCTCTGGTGAATCCTCTCATGGCCCCTGCACCTCTGGCCTGTACCTCAGCTCTGTATGCAGAAATAAATAAATCTTTTTTTTTTAAAAAAAAGATAATTCAATAGCACAAGTGGTTTCCTGCCCAGTAGGCGCTGTGTTGAGGAGGCAACAGGTGCCTGAGACACTGGCATCCTGCGGCTTCTTTAACGCTGCTACTTGAGCACGTGACCCGTCCCGGGCCACTTGGAGCGGTCATGTGACCACCATTTACCATCTCACGTGACTTCTCAGGTCTTAGATTCTCACGTGGGGTAAGTGGATCCTGACCCTGCTCCCAGGCAGGAGCCACAAGGAACAGAAACTGCTGGAAGCCTTGGAGCCAGGCCCTTGGCAGGAGAGGGTTGGGGAGGGGCCCCGTGAGCCACCTGCTGAGAAGGGGCCTGAGGGCTGCAGTGCAGAGGATGCTACTCCTGTCTTCCCGGTAAGTTCGCTTAATGTTTACAGCTTTGTAGCAGGCCATTTTGCCCACTGGCAAAAACTCTTCACGACCTGAGCTAACTAAAATGTAGTTTGAACTGCCAGGGAGCTAGAGGTGCTTTTGCAGAGCCAGCACGGCCAGCCTCGGGGCTTGGCGAAAAGTGGCCATCGCTGTCACTTACCACTTGGCCATAATGTACCCAGCACCCGGATGCAGTATCGCCTTGAGTTCACAGCCCAGTTTGGACTGAAGTAGTCCTACGGAATGGGGCGCTGCACGCCTTGAGGTCCTCGAAGCAGCCCCGATTGTGTAGAATCGGGCAGCTGGGGGCAGACGCCGCCGGAGGGAGCTGTCACTTACTTGGCGTAGGCCTTCTCCAGCAGGGCGCTCCAGAACTCACTCCCCTCTGCGGAATGCACGAAGAGCAGCTCCCCGTCCTTGGTGGGCAGCCTGTCATCGATCACCACGTCCACCCACTCGCCGTACTGCCAGAACTGGGCACACGGAGGACGGGGTGTGGGGGCGGGCGAGGAGAAGCCTTCAGGCCTCTGGCTCCGGCCTGCACCGGCCCCTGCGCCCCCAACCCCGGAAGGAGACGCCCCTTCTAACTCTGCACCAGCAGGGCAAGTCCTGACCAAGAAACTGAGGACGAAGGTGCTTGTCCCTCCTCCCCAGCCCACATCTGCTTCTGGAGCAGTATGCTCTGCTTTGCACTTTTAAAAACACTATTTCTCATCTACCAGCTTAAAAAGAGGTGAAGAAGGCACACTTGGTTCACTTCCAATTCTTTGTGCCCGTGAGGGCAAGTTACCATCTTCCCTGTGACCACCTGCCTGCTCTTTGTGCAGCCTTTTGACATTCTCCTAGAACCTTAGAGTTGGAAGGATCTACGTGGTTTCTCAGGCTGCACGTAATAAACTTACAAATATTTTTTTTTAATTTGGGAATTGCTTTCTGGGAACCCTGCTCGACCTCTCTTCAGATGTCCCAAATGTCCCTATGGCTATCCTTTCAGGGCCCCAACTAAGGAGCAGGCCAGGGAGCTGCCCGCTGGTCCATCACACCCTTCACAGAACAGCACTGCAAATACAAGGGACTGCTGACTTGGTGAAGCCCAGGGGGCTGTTCCTAGCTTATGGGACCTGTTTCTGGCCCCCAGCCTCTACTCAACTTCTAGAACCTACTCTGAGCTTTCAGGACTTATTCTTGACCCCTAGGGCCCACTGACAAAAAGCCTGACCCTTCCAACAAGTTACCTGGAAGTGGAAGATCCCTGCATAGTTTTCCTGGAAGCTCTGGTCGGGGGGGACGACTCGAGCCAGTACTTCTTCATTCAGGGTGAGGGAGGCAATGGCTGCCAGCAGCCAGCAGTCACCTGTGAATACAGCACAAGGAGCTCTCATCAGCAGGGTCTCAGAGCCCCAGGTGGTAAATAAACATCTTGTCTGCACCTCAGGGAGCTGGAGGTTGAGCACAGAAGAATCAAGAGTCCTTCCATGCGAGTAGGCAGGGGGTTGGGAACTCTGCTGAGGAAGGAATGTTTTGATGATGGTAGTTGGGTCCAGATGGGAGAATGCTTGGAAAACCCCAGAACTTGTGACAGTTACAGATGGGCCTCACAGCCCATCTCTGTGTCTGCCACACTTCAGGCCCTCAGCAGTAAGCGTGCGTGAGTGATGAAGCCACCTCAGCCGCACAGGCTTCTTGAATGTGGGTTTCGAAGGTGAATTTGAGTGAGAGAAAGATGTGATGGTAGATGGGGTTGACCTTTACCTAATTTGCACCTTATTGCACCAAATAGAATTTGATGGACTTACAGAGTGGATCTGAGTGAGAACTTTCTGGGCCTCTCACTGTGCATGGAAGTCCATCCCCAGGCAAGTGTTTTTTGGATCTGTGACTTCCAGGGCTACAGACCAATAGCCCCAAATAAATGCCTTCTCTTTGATGGGGGTGGGAGATGGAGGTTAAGGGAGAATATGACTGAGATGGACCTACTTCTCTGAGTGTTGGGGGACAGCTTAGCATCCTGATAGTTCTTCACCTAAACTGTCCTGTTAGCACTCAGAGGTGATGCACTTAGCTCTTTGAGACTAGATATGCTGCTGATAGCTCTGTGGTAAATGGAGACACATTCCTCCCTAAGGGAAGCCACACAAACTCTTTTGCTTCTTCCATGGGGTGTGTGCTATGGATTCACTGTCCAGTTTCCACTCAGCACTCATTTGCCCTCCTCCTGGTGACACCAATGTCCTTTGCAGAAACTGCCTCCATGCATCCTGCTGGCCGGCCCCCAACTCCAGGTGGGCTAATGTGGGCAGGTGGGATGACCAGTTTAACGTTGATGCTACAAACTTTTAGGCTTCTAACTGACTGTAGCTCTAGCAAAGCCCTCTGGCAGGTACTAAGTCTGTTTAGACTTGGTTACCTGCTAACGTTTTCATATAACGTGTGTGTGTGTGTTTTAAGTTGTTCTGCATTTTTGTACAATGTAGGGTTTCTCATCTCTGGTACAGACCCTGTGCCATCACCACAGTCCCTTGTGCTCTTCCCACCCCTGCTGCTAGTAATGTTTTGATCCTTGATGGCTTCATTCGTTCCAGAGCAATGGTTTTAGTGACCCCAGTGCTGGGATTGTGAGAAGCTGGAGGGGAGGATCTGATAGCTTCTGGTTGCTTCTCTACAGTCAGCCTACACCCTTCTCTACCCTGCTCCCTGCCCTAGAGTTGACCTCGATGTGTGAAATTGTGGGCTTTCAGGGCTTCTGGCTGCTGGCGGGGTTTGGCTAGTGGGGAGCTCTAGAGACCAGAGGGCAGCTAGGTGAGGCATTTCTTCCCTGAGCCCTTCATGAGCTTGGCTCCAACTGTGACCCCTGAGCATAAGGCAGTGCTCCTTCAAGGTGGCATCTCTGCACGACTCACTTCCACTTCTAGAACGCTGACAACAGCCTCCCACTCACAGAATGTAGCTCTTTTCTTGGAGGCCTTTGGTTATGCTTCCTCATTTGATTACAGAAGGCTTCTGTCACTCAGTGTTTGTGCCAACAGAATCTAAGATTTCTCTGACTAGTGTGCTCGGCCTTCATTCGCTCTTCACCCTCACTGACCGACTCCAAGGTCATCTTCAGCCATCTTCAGCAGAGGCTTAATCTATTTAAAAAGTGGCCCAGTTACTTGGCTAGAAAGAGCATCATAAAATGCTGTGTCCCCTTGAGTTAATCCATAAATTTAATGCAGTTTCAATAAAAGTAATAGGAGGATAAAAAGACACTGAAATTTACCTGATTCTAAGGTCTATATGGAAACATTCAACATGATGCGTAGCCAGAAAACTACCAAAAGGGAAAGGATAAGACATTAAAGCATCTATAAAGCTGCAATAAGAAAACCAGCACAGGACTAGCATATGAGTAAAAACAAATTGCTCAGGACAGAAAGTTCAGAAACAAACAGTAGGATCATAGGTCCTAAGTAAAGAAATTTCTCACAAATGGAATTATAACAATTGTGCCGTCCTCTAGAAGAAATATCAAGTTATGTCATCTGTTACAGGGATCAATTCTAAATGCTTATATATAAAATTTTAACATTATGTTAAATATATTTTTATTACATTGATTATATATTCACACATACATGTAATACATTTAGATAATTTTGTTATTTATATGTATTGTACATGTGTATATCATATATTTATTTATATGTTGTTATAGTATAATAAGATTACAAATTGAATGTTTCTATACATCAATAAACATCTCAGAAGAGACAATGGGGAATCCTATTATAATCTGAGTGGAGATAGGTCTATTGAATTGTAAACTACAAGCCATGAAATTTACAGTAAATTTAATCACAGGAAAGTAGAAAAAGAAAACCTTATATAGCAAAAAGATCACAATTAGGCAAAGTCAAACAAACAAGAAAAATTACGTTATTTAGTTTTCAGACCCAAGGCTAGATCCGAAATTAGAGCGCTCAAGGCAGGAGCGCTCAATGTAAAAATGGGCAAAGATATATAAACAGAGTTAAAGGAAAAAGGAAAAGTTAATCTCTCAAACAGAAAATCTATTCATCTTCCCTTATGATAAAAAATATAAAGTAAAACTACACTGAGATACCGTTTCTTCGCCTTTCGAATTGCTGAGGCCGTGCAGAGTGACCGGGAGAGGCTGCCTTGTGGGTGCCATCCCCGGCTGACAGCTCCTGACCGCCTCATCCATGTACCCCAGCAGCTCCCCCTGCAGTGACCGGCCCCACACACACTCACTTTAGAAATCGATGTCAAGTATACGGCTGTTTACTGCAGCACTGGCTGTCAGGGGACGTCTCCAGTGAGCGAGCGTCCATCGGTTCTGGTGCCTCTCGCTAATGAAGCTCTAAGCTGCCATAGAAAGGAAGGGTGCTCTCTCTTTGTTGCTGTGGGATGATCTCCCAGAGGTGTGAGCAAAACAAAGCCAGGTGTAGACCAGTATAGGACAGGCCAAAAGGAAAATTAAAAATGTGGGAAAATGAAACAAATAGAAAAGAAGATGCTGGACTCACCCCCTTTTATAATTCACATCTTCATAATCTGAAGCTATTTTTGCTTGTTGGCCCTGTGTCTCATATGCTTAAATTGTGGTTTTTATTACTATAAGCGCTAGCTTCTTGCCTGTTATAGATAAGTAATGTTATGTCAGTAGAGTAAGAAAAAAGCCTATGTTAGTTTTTCTAAATGACAGTGTTTCGGTAGAGGTCTTCATTAACAACAGCCTGTCTTCAGTAAGAATACACAGTCAGTTCACTTATTCTGTGTCCCCCAAAGTGTGTTCTATAGAAAGTCCCTCAAGGAAGACACAGTCCTTGAGAAATGGATTCTATGATCAAGAAAGTGTGGGAAAAGCAAAGCTTCTCGGTCAAGTGCAGGGACTTGTTCCAACAAGAACTTTCCTAAGAGTGGGGGGCGTGGGGTTTCTCTAGGCAAGTCGCCCAGCTTTTTGACCGGAACCCCCTCCTGGAACCCCTCCTGTTGCCATCTCACCTTGCCAGGGAGCCGCAGAGTCCCTTGCAAGCCACCCCAGGGCACAGCTTGTTCTGGTTCCTTCCGGCAGCTCTGCACCAGCTGTGCTGCTGGGAACCGGATCACAGCTTCTCACAGAGAAGGTGGTTTGATAACACCTGTGTCTAAACCTGCGTCTCCAGGTTTCCATACTGTTTCTGGACCATCTGGGACCATCTTTTCCTTACATACGTGGCTTTATTGTACACATTTAAAAAAAAAGTTCAGCCTCAAGTTCTTTGAGGAGTGGGGTGAGGCTTATGTACACATTAAGGATAATCTACCCAAGTTCTCTAAAGCTCTGCCTCATCACCTCAGTCTGTCCAGTGCCCTCAACAGGAGGGTCAGAGCTGGCGCACGACAGACCTGTGGCCTCCCTGCGGACAGACTCTGTGCCTCCCCCGAAGAAGCTGGTGGCCCACAGGTGACTGCTGGCGTGTTCCTCACCAAGGGCAGCAGACAGGCCCCTGCCCAGAGGCTCCGGACTCACGCATCAAAGACCTGGCCTCCAGCCCAATTCCGCTGAGCTAAGTCCGCCCTGGAAGACCTTCAGGACAGCCCAAGAGGCTGGGGAGGGAGCATGGGGGCTTTTCTGTCCTGTTTCCATCCTGAACGTGGGCCCGGGTGCCCCGGGACTACCTGCCCCCCATCCAACTGCATCTGGACTTCCTCCCTCCCCAGAGTCTGCACCCCCACTGCAATCAGACTTGGGAGGCAGATGATCTGGAAAGAGACCTGTGGGTTTAAGTGCCCCAGCGTGAAAACCAGCAGGTCCCGGGGGACCTCTGGATCCCTGGAAAAGGTGTGTCTTGCTGGAGGCTGAATTCATCCTGTACCCTCAAAGAACTGCCCTCACTCATTCCTCATCTTGCTTCATACTCTATTCTCTCACCTTCCCCAGAACCCTTTCACCTCCTGGCCCCAGAAGCCACCAGTGGGCTCCACCGTGTGGGGTTCCTCAGGCTCTGGGCTCCTCCCAGTGCCCTTTGGCTGGGTTTGCTCCCTCAGCCTGGCCCTAACGTGGGCCCTTCCTGCCCGCCTTTCTCCCGGGCCTATGTGCCTGTCCAGTTTACATGGTCCCAGACCCCCCTTTCAGCTGGCCCACACTAGGAGAAGGTGAGCACATGCTAAGGCAGGTTCTCACCCCTGGGGGCTCTAGCCTGGTGGACCAGGCCCTGGGGTGCTGGGTGGGCACAGAGCCCAGGCAGGGTGTGGTCGGCCAGTGCTGAGGGGCCCCAGTGTGCCGGGTGGACGTGCTGGGGTGGAGGGTCTTTGCTAACTGTTCACCAACCGTCAGCGCCAATGACTCCAGGGGCATTCCTTCCAGTGATC